CCTTGCAGCATTAAATTTGGCGTTGGTTTGGTAACCAATTCCTTGTCTCACTGTGCTTTCTTGACCTTTTACAAATTTTACTACTTGGACTTTATTAGTTCAAGGTTCAAGCTGTAGTAGAATTGGTCAATTTTTCAGAGGCTTGAGAACACGATGGATCATAACCAAGTCCGGTTTTATCACTTGAGGGTTTTTGCATATTTACCATTTTGTCCATTATTTTGGATGAATGTGTAAATGTTGCTATAACCTCTCTAAGGTTGTGTTCTCTCACTTCCCTTGATTTACACTCTTCTTGAAGACAAATAATTTTATCCTTCAAGTCTTTCACTTCAAGTAGAGCATTTTGCAATTTTTTATTTAATTCACCTTTTTCAAGAATTAAAAAATTATTGCGCTCTTTGAGTTGAGAGTGAGTGTCCATTACGGTTTGGCATTCTTTCATTAAGTGAAAGAAGGACTCTCTAGAGAATGAAGAATTTACAGAGTCATAAGAATTAGATGTTACCTCATTTTTTTCATTTTCATTTGCCATAAGACACATGTCCTCGTAGGATGAGTTGTTGGGCATACTCATGCAAAACATTGCATTGTCATCTTTTGAGGTGTCACTTTCATCACTTGAAGACTCTTCTGACTCACTTGTCTCAAGTGGGTCACTGATAAGTGTTTTTCTTCTCTCCTTTGTGAACCTTTTATCTTTGGTCTTGAATTCTTCCTGTTGAGGGTTAGAAATATTTGTGTATTGACTTTTACTCACCTTGGGGTGTGGACAACTTGTTGCAAAGTGTCCAGGCTTTCTACAATTGTAACACAAATTTGAATCTTCCTCAACCATTTCTTTCTTTGAATTTTTCGTTGCATTCCGTGGTTTTCCTTGTGAATTTTTCTTGTAGTTGTTTCTCTTCATGAATTTCCTAAAGTTTTTGACAAAGAGAGCAAATTGATCGTTAGGCAATAATTCAATATTTTGTACTGACCTTGAAGTCGATGGTTGCTCGACTATGAGTGCGTTGTTCTTTTCTTCATGATCTTCCTCAATCCTTGATTTCATCTCAAACTCATAAGCTTTTAGATAACTAAAAAGCTTATCGGTTGATAGAGTTTTTAGATCTCTATGATCTCTCATGGCCGTGACCTTCATGTCCCATGTAGATGGTAGACCACATAGGATTTTGAGTGAGATTTCCTTTTGATTAATGTCTTTTCCAAGATCATTAATCTCTCTTAAGATTTTAGCAAATCTTGTTTCCATATCGGTAATATTCTCGCCGTTTAGCATTTTGAAATCCTCGAATTTCTTTAATGTTATGGTGAGTTTATTATCCTTTTCTTGCTCGTCTCCTTCACCAATTTGAATGAGCATTTCCCAAACTTCTTTTGCGGATTGGCATTTTCAAACTTTTAGAAATATCGTGTCATTGATAGACTTAAACAAAATATCTTTGGCAATATTGTCCAAGTTATTTCTTGTTCTATCTTCACGAGACCATTTCACCTTTGGTTTTGGAATGTATTGCTGAGTTTCGCTTGTTTGTACGGATGAAGTGTTGACTTGCAAAATTTCAATAGGACCACTGGTGATGACTTCCCACATTTCATCATGTAATGCGGATAAGTGTACCTGCATGCGAATTTTCCAATCATCAAATTTTTCTAAGGAAAATAATAAGTTTTGGGCAAGAGCCATATCTCTTTTCATCATATTGATTTTTCAAGATCTGTCTAGCAGTCAAAATTGACTCAAATAGACAACCGCTCTGATACCAATTGTTGGTCCCGATAGGGTGGTAAAAGTCTAGAGGGGGGGGGGGTGAATAGACTTTTAAACTTTTTCAAAATTAAATAACTCTTTGGTAATTCCAAATCTAAATAACAAGTAAATAGAGAAGTAATTAAATTGAAATGCACAGCGGAATAAATATGTGTAACGAGTTATGCCCAATCAATAATTTGAATCACATGCACGTGTAGGATAAGCTCAGATGATGTGTAAGGATGACATGAATATCTTAAATATTTAAAGAAGATTGTGCACTCAATATTTAACAATAATATTCAAGACTATAAATAAGATTTCGTGTCACGTCAACCGTATGATAAATGTTACATGCAACACGTCAAACTTGCTTAGAATAATTCAAATGTTAAGCATGGAAAGTTTGAGTTACATGCATACGTGAAAACACTAAACCCGAAAGATAAAGATAGACAATGAATAGTAAACGGGTTAGTCGGATGATAAATAAATAAAGCGAATTATGTAAGTGCGGTATGTAAATGAGAGAGGCAATTTATAGTGGTTCGGAAGTGGCGTAATCTTCCTAGTCCACTTTACTCCATTCACGTCTAGGAGTAATTCACTATTTTTCCACACACAGTTACAATAGTGAATAAGCGCTACACAAGCACTTCTTCCAGATGTCTTGCACACAACTACACCCAACTCCGAGTGTTTCGCACACAGCTACACTCAACTACGAGTATTTCGCACACAGCTATACTCAATGCCAAGTAAGTGTCTTGCACACAGCTACACTTAGCAACTACGAGTGTTTTGCACATAGCTACACTCACCAGAGTATTTTGCACATAGCTATACTCTTTTTACAATTACAAATACAAAGGTAATTGTATCTCTCTCCAACTAATTTTGAGACTATTCAGACTAAGTCTCTCTTCTAGATATCTCAATGAATATTTAGCACTTGTATTTCTAGAATTCGCACTTGTTCATCCGTGTGTTCTCTTGTATTTTTTGTATTCACCTCTATCTCTTGTTTCTTCTTCAAGTCCTCATGGCCTTTTTATAGATAACCAAATATATCCGTTGGAGTGGGATAATTTGATATTTGAATTTTGAAGCTTCATAGCCTGATATTGTTGACAATAGTAGGTCTTTAATTTTGATTTGATTGTCAACTTGCCTGACAAGATAATATTTTATTTCAACTTGATTTTCAAGTTGTTTCTAAAATATTATTTTCCTTGTCCATTTTGAAGTTCCAACGTCTCTTTGCAATAAGTTCTTCTGATAGAATTTATTTCTAGGATAAGATTTTTTTATCCATGCCTTCATAAATTTTCCACCGTTCTGATCATATCTTTAGGCAATTTGGATTCTTGTGACATGTGAGATGTACCAACATAAATTCTTTCGAATTTATTTATTTTCTAATCATATTGCTTCTTTGTCACATCTTGCTCCTTTGAGACTCATTGTGCTCTAAAAATCATATCTTGCTTGTTTGACTTGCTACATCGTACTTTTCTGATTTGGCCATATTATGCTTCTTTCGCTTCTTGCTTCTTTGACTTCAACACATTGTGCTTGTTTGACTTGAGGGATTGTGCTTCTTTTGAGACATTGTGCTTCTTTTTGAGACATTGTGCTCCTTTTGAATTCCGGCTTATAAAAAATAAGTCCTTAGAAGGGAATTTATCTCAAGTGTGATCATTAGATATAAGGACTTCTACCATTTCGCCATTAGGCTCATCCGGTCTTTCTTTGCAACGCCATTGTTTAGTACTTCAGTTCCGGATGAATACTTGTAGGACCAAAATTAATTCTCCCAATTAATTTTGTTCTTCATGTAGTAGATTTTCCTTTGCATACTGGCTTGATATTCTGAATTATGATGCTTGTTCTAAAGACCTAAATTTTAAGGGGATCTAAAGTACATTTGGCTCATCAAAACTTTATTACAAAAAATATTCCTATCAATTTTCCTCCTTTTTGATGACGCCAAAACCTATCTCAGTCATTTGGCTTGTCTTTTTAAAAATAAATTTTTCAATAGATTTTATTAAGACTTGCTAGTATTCAGGATTTTGTATTTTTCTCGCGGTGTGGTTCTGTTTTGTCAAATGGTCAAAGCGACTAAGGGGATTTCTTCTGATGTTCAAGGTATTCTGATGTTCCATTGTTTTTTATTTCTTGTTTATCTGCGTTCTTGGGTTTGTTGTTAGGGTTGTTTTTTTTTTTTTTTTTTGGGAGGGGGGGGCGGGGGGGGGGGGGGGTTTGGGCTCCGGCGGGGGATCTCGGTTCTGTGGGGGATGGGGTGTGATGTGTTGTTTACGGTGGTGTGATTTTCGTGACGGGGTATGTTGGCCGGTCTGGGGTGCGGCGACGGTGGCATGTGGTGTCTGGTATTGGGTTTTTCGGCAGGGGTGTTGATGGGTGTTAGTTTCAATTGACGATGATGGTCTGCATACCAATGATTTCTTGATTTAATAGAATAATATGAAAATGATGGGCAATAGTTCTCCAAAAGGTTTCAACTTCCTTATGGGTATGTCTAACAACGAAAAAGTGAACTAGAATACTACAAATTAAAGAGGCTGTAGAAATGTGATTATGTATATTTATAGGCTCTAACATGTCTACAAAGGTTTATCCTACTTAGAAATTGATTTAACCCAAAGCCTCTTCTAAATCCCATTATTTTCTTTTTCCTTTGCCAATTGAACCATTATTCTTTCATTCTCTCAAAGTTTCTGTCGTTGAGGGGAAGGAGAGACAGAAAGATTCAAAAATTGTGTATTTAATCAAAATGTTGGGAAAAAAAATAGTTGTTTATTATGCTAAATAAGATTCTTGATGGTTTCATACATTCCCTTCTCAAGCCCTCTGCAAATTGCCTCAAGGTAAGCGCTTTTGTATGTTGATTTCCCAGTGTGTATTCATTTATTTGCGTTCTGATTTTTTTTTTATTTGGGAATTGTAACAGGAAACATTGCATTCTACTTGTTTGAAATCAATCAGGTTAGTGAAGTTAGATCCTTTTACTAGTTTTGCAAGTGCAATTTCCCCATTTTCTTGATGATTTTCCGTACGAAGAAAGTGAAGGCAATAATTCGCGTAGCTCTGTGTCCTTGCGTGAGAAAAAATAATGGGTTTTCTAATTACTAAATAGTTCTCAGAAGCTAAAGAACTCTAAGGCAAATATTGAAAACAGATAAGACAATTAGAACCCCGCTTATCAATTCTTATGTTGGTAATGAGGATTTGGCTGGTTTATTACAAGTTCTCAATGACAGGCATTCTAGGAGTAAAAATATTTCTGAGTAGAATAAGTTGATATCTGGGTTTTCTTGCATGACAATCAAATGAATCCTTGCATTTCCTTTCTGATTGATTTGACCAATGTTCTCTTGATTTGAAAGTGAAGAGAGCAATCTTTGCAGCTAATGTAGACTGAGTGGACTATGCTTTGTATCCTCTATTTAGTGAAAGAGCAATCTTTGCAGTTAATGCTTTTATGAATTTCCATGTTCTACTTAGCATTTCTTTTTCTGCCTTGATAGTTTGATGTATTGTATCTTTATGTTTCTATAACCCTTACTTGCTCTTATCTTTTCTGATTGTCCATTCTAAATTAAAACCAATAATTAAACAGTGGACAAATTGTGCCCAAATATCAATATTTATTATTGTTTTTTTCCTGGTGTTTTGTATGTTATTATGATTATTTTTGCGTTTCAATAATTGCGGTTGTGTGGCAATTCATATTTGTTCGTTATTTCAGTTTATGCACACGCCAAGCTGTAGCAACGCACACATCTAAATCTCAGAAACCACATGTGTGCGCTGAAGTTATTGGGTGTGTGCTCCGAGTCATGTGTGGAGGCTTTTGTATAGCTTTAATTACATGCTTGACAAATTAATTGAAATATGTATTTAATTATGTTTGTAATTAATTCAATTTTTATTTAAAAGTTTAAAAATTTATTATTATTAGTGATATGAAACTTAGATTATACTGTTCATACTGTAATGCCATATTATTTTAGAGTATGTCATAGAAGTTCAATTTGATTTTTATTAAAATGTCAAAATTTAGTTCAATTGCAATACAAAAACTTATATAAAATCAATGTGTGCGGTATAGTAGTTGAGTGTGTGCCCAGAGTTATTAATTGTTACATTTGATTCATTATTGACTTCCAAACCCTACAGTGTTTTGCACACGCCCAGATGAAGTAACGCACCCATCCAAATCGTTAAAATCTAGATGTGTGCGCTGAAGTTGTTGGGTGTGTACTTGAATACACGCTCACACTAAATAACATTTTTTTTTAGTTCATTAAAAACTAATAAAAAAATAACAACGGCATGCTAAAGTCCGTGGCTCATTAACTAGCACATGTCATACAACACTCATGCACACACCGACCTCCACAATACATCCTTAGTACTTACGTAGGTAAATTGAAAAAAATTTCACGCCAAGTTGTTCGCACATGCCGTAACACCCCGATGCACACACCTTTACTACCCTTTAGTCAGTATTAAAAAAAAACAACCACAAATCAAGCACGAATACACGACCACACCGTATAACAGTTTCATGCCAAGATCACATTATAATAACTCACACATACTGTTTCACATATACGCACACGCCACCGTACATTACCACTCAAGCGCATAAAAAACAAAAACCAGCGAATAGTGCACTTACAAATTATTATTTTAAAAAAAAAAACATTAACAAAAATTCAAGCACCCACATAATATTAATGATTGATTAGGAAAAAATATGTAGCAATGCCCCCATCCCTAAACGTTGCACACGCCAAAGCACATATTCGCACACACTACTGTAAGTACATTTTCGGTGTCCAAAAAAAAAAAAAAAACAACACATAATACTATTTCAATCTTCTTCTTTAAAAACAAATCATATATCTGACTTCACGGACACACTTAATATCAATTTTGGTAAAAATACCAAAAATAAAAAATTTCAAATCCCTCATCCCAGAAATTTACACACGCCAGATCACATGCACACACACACCATCTTAAAATAAATTTTTACATTGCTTCTGCATTCATAAATTAAGTTTTAGCATAACAAAAAATGTGGATCATTCACGTACACGCATATTATTAATGTTTGTTTGTTTTTTTTTTTTTTAAAGAAACAATGCTCTCATCCCTAAGCTTTGCACACGCCGGAGTACATATTTGCACACCTCCGTAAGTTCACATCCGGTGTCCACAAAAAAAAAAAAAAAAAAACTACACGTACTACTCTTACAATATTCTCCTTTAAAACCAACCCATATACATAAATTCACGCACACATATATAAATTATTTCCGTAAAATTACCACAAAAAAAAAAAACTAAAGATTTGCACACGACATACTACATACACGCACATACCGTCGTACATAATCAACTAAAAATATCAGCTCTCAATACCAATTATTACTAGTTATTACCTATAATATTCTACCTAATATTATGCTCAATATTACAATTTAATACTAACCAAAAATAAACTCAATACTAGAATTACTTTTAATCCTTATGTTTTAAAAATGTCCATAATTAATTTAAAAGAATCTTTCAATCTCAACCATCTCATGTATCATAGGGGTTGCACCGGATTCGAAGCCTATATCTATGCCAAAGAAAATACACCTTCCTTGGAATAGAGGCTTTCAGATCTACTCAGGGCCTTAATCTATGCCAAAGAAAATACACCTTGGACATATTGAAAGAGTATGGTTTTCTGGAGGCTAAACCTGCTTGCACTCCTATCACTGCAGGGCAAAAACTCACAAGCACTGAAGGTACAAAACTTGATAATCCTGAAGTCTACAGAAGACTAATAGGAAAGTTATTGTATCTCACTAATACTAGGCCAGATATCACTTATGCTGTCCAACAACTAAGTCAGTTTGTTGATCAGCCTAGGGACATTCATCTTGTGGCAGCTCACAGAATACTGAGGTATCTAAAATGGGCTCCTGGTAAAGGGTTGTTCTATTCAGCCAAGTCTCACCTCAAGTTATATGGTTTTTCAGATTCAGACTGGGCTACTTGTGCAGAAACAAGGAAATCTATCACTGGTTTTTGCATTTACTTAGGGGAATCATTGATATCTTGGAAAACAAAGAAACAAGCTACTGTTTCTAGATCTTCCTCAGAGGCAGAATACAGAGCTTTGGCCTCTTCTGTGTGTGAAATTCAATGGCTCCTATACTTGATGGCAGATTTGAAAGTGCATCCTGCCAGTCCAAGTGTGTTGTTTTGTGATAATCAGTCTGCCATAGCCATTGGAGAAAATCATGTGTTTCATGAACGTACTAAGCACATTGAGATTGATTGCCATGTGGTCAAGCAAAAGGTTAATGAAGGTGTTGTAAAGCTACTTTCAATTCCATCAAAGGAACAAACTGCAGATGGTTTTACCAAGGCATTGCCTAAGCCAAGCTTTGATGTTTTCCACTCTAAGCTGGGCCTTCAAGATATTCATGCTCCAACTTACGGGGGGGGGTGTCAAAATAACAACTCATTATCAGCTCTTCACCAGCTCATCTGCTTATCTGATCAGCCTCTCATATACTTAGCTTATATGTTTAGCCTCAAGGGCTTTTTTGTATTTTCCCCTGCTTCATAATTATGTTATTTCTGTTACTTAGCTTCCAGTCTATATAAGGCTGCTTCCTTTCTTCTTCTTCGTTCTGTACTTCATTTCATCAATAAGCAGCTTCTTCTTCCACTCAATTCCCTCACTAGATCTAAGATGCACTAGGTGTTCCATCATTCTTCCAAAAAGATTGAACCTCAACCCTAATATTGATCGTATACAAGGAAAAATTAGCGTTTCACATAATTGCAAACCAAGCAAACCAATTAAGTTACTTGCAAAATTTGTTTTTTTTTTTCCTTCGATTTTATTCGGTCCAGTTTTATATTATAACTTATTAAACAAAAGTTTCTACTTCTAAAATTCCACAAGAAAAAAAAAAAAAAAACACTAAGAGCACCATTTGATCAAAATGCCAAATAGAGAATACATGCAGATCATCTCCAGCTTTGGAGCATATATATATATATATATATATGATGGGGATATGGGACCCGGGGGTCCATTTTATTGGCATAGTATTGACCCAAGTGGGGGTGGTGATGATAGGAGATTGGCCCAAATCCTATTGGGCTACGAAGACAACGGGGGTGGTTTTCCAAAACGGAGGAGAGAAAGATTTCCGGGGAACAAACCGCCGGTGGCCGGTCGGTGGTGGACCGGTGGGGTGGTCCGCCGGACTCCCGACGGCGAGGCGTGGCCGGCCGGGGGGGTGCACCACCGGTCATGCCGGCAACGCCTCACCACCACGGCCAGTGAAGGCCCGCTGCGGCTATGGGTAAAAGGCCCGCTGCGGCTATGGGTAAAAGGCTCGCTGCTGCTGCCAGTGGGATTTGAACCCCTACCCTCCAAAATAGTGACATGAGACCAAGACCACCAACCCACTTCGCCTATTGTTTACCAAGGCGCAGCAAATGTATATGACCGATATTTGCGGGCAGGGCAGCCTCCACCACGGGCCATGGCCGGCCATTGGCCGGCCGGCGGCGGGTCCCGCCGGCCACCTCAGGCCGAGGCGCGGCCAGCGGGGGCAGTGCGCCCCCCAGATTGTCAACGGCACCCCCCCACCTTCCCGAGGGGGTGCTGGGCGGGTGCGCCAAGCATGGTGGACCGGGGTGGTATGCGCGGGAGTTTTAGAAGTATGGCGAACGTGCCCGCTTGCGTAGCGATAAATGGGGAAGTGGGGATGGATTGCATGGGACACATGGATGCTAGAGGATGAGGGGGGCTTGCTATAAATAGGGGCCCTGGATCTCTGGCTAGGGGGCAACTCAGACACGACATGCACTACGGTCTAGTGTTCTTGATCTCATACTCTTAATCTAGTCACCTGGGTTCGATTCCTACCAGTAGCATAGTTAGCTATAGCCCACCCCGTGGGCCTTGTTCTTTGTATTTGGGCCGCTTTTTAAGCCTGTACCTCGGGCTTTATACGCATAGTTTTGGGCCTAGTGCCCCGGGTAATAAAGTCAGTACTTTCCTACCCCCGTCCTATGTTCCTATACCCGGTTTATGGTGGACCCGGTCCCAATAAAACCATCATTGGCACCGTCTATGGGGCTCGCTACGATTAGCCCTTGTTTGTAGTCTCTACCATCCTAGCAAGGTTCCGAGGTATGCTCAAATGGTTGATTCGCAAGAGGAGCTACCCTATAAGGTAACACACTTAGCACATCGAGACGCTACTCTGGTGAGTACACTTGAACACTTAGTTAGGTAAAGATTGTGTTTATTTTCCCGAACTATGTGCTCCTATGTGTTCTGCATGCTTGGCCCACGGCCACCACAACTATATGCTCCTATGTGCTCTGCATGCTTGACCCGCGGCCACCTCAACTACGTACTCCTATGTGCTCTGCATGCTTGGCCCACGTCCACCTCAACTATGTGCTCTTACGTGCTGTGCATGCTGGCTCTACGGCGTTGGCGAATGGGGCATGTGGGCTATCGCAACTCACATGCGCGGACTAATCCCCGGCAAGCCGCGTGTAGTTGGCGGATGGGGCATGTGGGTTATCGCAACCCACATGCGCGGACTTGCTCCCGGCAAGCCGCATGCAGTTGGCGGATGGGGCATGTGGGTTATTGCAACCCACATGCGCGGACTTGTCCCCGGCAAGCCGCATGCAGTTGGCGGATGGGGCATGTGGGTTATCGCAACCCACATGCGCGGACTTGCACCCAGCAAGCTGCATGTAGTTGGCGGATGGGGCATGTGGGTTATCGCAACCCACATGCGCGGACTTGCCCCCGGCAAGCCGCATGTAGTTGGCGGATGGGGTATGTGGGTTATCGCAACCCACATGCGCGGACTTGCCCCCGGTAAGCCGCATGCAGTTGGCGGATGGGGCATGTGGGTTATCACAACCCACATGCACGGACTTGCCCCCGGCAAGCCGCATGCAGTTGGCGGATGGGGCATGTGGGTTATCGCAACCCACATGCGCGGGCTTGCCCCCGACAAGCCGCATGCAGTTGGCGGATGGGGCATGTGGGTTATCGCAACCCACATGCGCGGACTTGCCCCCGGCAAGCCGCATGCAGTTGGCGGCAAATTGCATGGGAAAAAAAAAAAAAAAGAACGAAACTAGATTATCACTAGATTATTAAGGTTGCCGAAACATTCGAAATTAAAAAAAAAAAAAAAAAAAAAAAAAAAAGAACGAAACTAGATTACCACTAGATTATTAAGGTTGCTGAAATATTCGAAATTACAAAAAAAAAAAAAAAATAAAAAAAATAAAAAAAAGGTTGCATGCAGGTGTAGCATGGAGAAGGAGCAAAGACATCCATTGAATATTTAAAAGAAGCATGCAGGTGCATCATGGAGAAATCGACAAAAGCATACTAAATAAATGCAACAAAAGAGATGTACACTGCAAGAAGCATCCAAGAAGTGACAATAGAGGAGTCACCTTGACCTCTCGACACTAGGTGATGAAGTGAAGGTCAGGGAAACGTGCGGTGTGTGGCAGAGGTACGAAGTAATGGCGTGACGCACAACAATGGTGATAATGGAAGGTGGCGGCGGGAGATTGAGAAAGGGAAAGAAAGGAGGTGGTGATACCGAGTTCTACTTCCTTTAGGCATCAAGATACCTAAAAGAACTGGGGGACTTGTGATGGGGATATGGGACCCAGGGGTCCATTTTATTGGCATAGTATTGACCCAAGTGGGGGTGGTGATGATAGGAGATTGGCCCAAATCCTATTGGGCTACGAAGACAAGGGGGGGTGGTGGCCCAAAACGGAGGAGAGAGAAAGATTTCCGGGGAACAAACCGCCGGTGGCCCGCCGGACTCCCGGCGGCGAGGCGTGGCCGGCGCGTGGGGGGGGGGGGGGGGTGCGCCACCGGTCGTACCGGCAGCGCCCCACCACCGCGGCCAGTGAAGGCCAAGATTTCCGGGGAACAAACCGCCGGTACCTCGCCGGACTCCCGGCGGCGAGGCGTGGCCGGCGGGGGGTGCGCCACCGGTCGTGCCGGCAGCGCCCCACCACCGCGGCCAGTGAAGGCCACTGGCCATGGGTAAAAGGGGGGGGGGGTGCGCCACCGGTCGTGCCGGCAGCGCCCCACCACCGCGGCCAGTGAAGGCCAAGATTTCCGGGGAACAAACCGCCGGTACCTCGCCGGACTCCCGGCGGCGAGGCGTGGCCGGCGGGGGGGTGCGCCACCGGTCGTGCCGGCAGCGCCCCACCACCGCGGCCAGTGAAGGCCACTGGCCATGGGTAAAAGGCAACAAGGAAAAACACTGCTACTGTCAATAGGATTCAAACCCCTACCCTCCCGGATAGTGACATGAGACCAAAACCACCAGCCCACTTCACCTATTATTTACTAAGGCGCAGCAAATATATATGACCGATATTTTCGGGCAGGGCAGCCTCCACCACGGGCCATGGCCGGCCGGCGACTGGCCCGCGGCGGGTCCCGCCGGCCACCTCAGGCCGAGGCGCGGCCAGCGGGGGCAGTGCGCCCCCCAGATTGTCAACGGCACCCCCCCCCCCCCTCTTCCCGAGGGGGTGCTGGGCGGGTGCGCCGAGCATGGTAGACCGGGGTGGTATGCACGGGAGTTTTAGAAGTATGGCGAACATGCCCGCTTGCGTAGCGATAAATGGGGAAGTGGGGATGGATTGCATGGGACACGTGGACGCTAGAGGAGGAGGGGGGCTTGCTATAAATAGGGGGCCCTGGATCTCTGGCTAGTGGCAACTCAGACACGACATGCACTACGGTCTAATGTTCTTGATCTCATACTCTTAATCTAGTCACCTGGGTTCGATTCCTACCTGTAGCATAGTTAGCTATAGCCCACCCCGTGGGCCTTGTACCTCGGGCTTTGTACGCATTGTTTTGGGCCTAGCGCCCCGGGTAATAAAGTCAGTACTTTCCTATACCCGGTTTATGGTGGACCCGGTCCCAATAAAACCATCAATATATATATATATATATATATATATATATATATATATATATATATATATATATGTGCATTATCTCCTTTGTTTTGTCTTCGGAATCTCTAACATTTTCCCTTAAGTAGCATGCATGCACGTGAAATATGTCCAAACCAGCCACCGACCAATGAATTCTTGAACCTATATATTCTTATTTTGGGCATTTGGTGGGACGGAATTACAATTTTATTTCCAAATAATTCCAAAGGCAAACAAATTCCTTCGTTTGATTGGAAGGAATTACAATTCCGCAGAATTGAAATTCTCTCATTTTCATGGAATTAAAATCCCATACCCCTTGGTATTTGAATTTCATGGATTTTAGGAAGAAAAAAAATAATTTTGAGACAAAATTACACTTCTCTTCTCTAATTTAAAATTGATGTTTGACCTCTCTTTTTCAATTATAGTGTATCTTCTTTTTCTACTATCAACACAGAACGGCAATCAGTAAGCAGACATCAATCAAATATGTTTTCTCAAAACTCCCTTATCTATTTTATTGCTTTCGTTACACAATTCTAGAGTTTATTTACAGTGTGTTACATAAATTTTCAAAAGCAAAATTTGAATTTG